CTTTGATTGAGAGTTCCTGCATGGCAGGGGATTGGACTGGATGGCCTTGAGGTCTCTTCCAACTCTAGGATTCTATGCTTCTATGACTGCACGACATTTGAGACTTAAAGAAAGAAGTTGATAGTATGAGTGTTCATAGTTTTATCACATCTCATTTTTGGTTCTCACACTACAGTCCAATACTCATTCATGTGGCTATTTACTTGGCTTTAGGCAACATCCTTCCTCCTGCCTTTGTTCCCAACAGCCATAGTTAAAACCAAACTTGTTACCTCATCTCCACACCCACAAAATTTTGCATTCCAATGGACATTCTCACACATAAATTGCATATATAGGTCTGTCCCTGGCTTTCTACTCCACCAAATGCATCTGTGGGGGGAGACTCAAGTCTATGAAAGTGCATACTACCAACATCTCTCTTTCAGTTAGTCCCAAAGATGCTACAAGATCCCTTTGCATATGGGGAGACTATAAATTTGCACTATTTCTGGCAGTCTGCAAAGGCCATGGTGCTATTGGCAGGATTTGGGTCAAGATAAAAAAAAATTGAACAATTTCAACCAAATTCTATTATTAGTCCAGACCCATTGAATCAATTGGATTTATTTATTGGCATGTTGCTTCCTCATGCAATAGTTGATTCAATGGGTCTATACTCTAGCTGGGACTAACCCATAGAATCCCAGCCATCATTTTCTCCCAGAAGTAAATCCTATTCCAAACTGAACCAAACCAAAATTCTTACCCATTCCCTAGGCTGGGGTAGACATTCAGCCCTCCACATGTCGATGGACTGCAGCTCCCAGTGTCCCAAGCCAGGAGAGCCAGTGATGAGGCATGCTGGGAGTTGCATTCCAACAAAATGAGGAGAGCTACACAATTCCCTCCTCTGCTCCAGAACATGGACAAATCTATCAGCTCCACATACTCCTGAATCCAGAATTTGTGGGGTTTTGTCACTTCTGATGGAAAACACACTGAAATGAATAGATCAGCTATCCCAATCCAGACTTCCCCCCCCCCAAAAAAATAGTGCTGATTTCAGGGATTTTCTGTCTTTTACTCTAAGTAAGTTTTTCTTTCTCCTGAGATTACACTGTAAAAAGATCTGCAATCTTCACCACACTGATAAGAGAGTTGATGGCATGTCCCATTTTGACAGGTTTGGATTCTGTTCACAGCCAAGACCTTTCTCCAGATCTGGTTTAGCCAACCACAGACTAAACCAGATCTCAATGGCACCTTTGTCCTAGGAAACTGAACAGCTAATACCCTGGTGAGATAAACTCTTCATTTAATCCTCAGTTTAAACAAGGGTCATTGCACAACCAGGGGGATTGCCTTCTGAAACAAAGGCAATTTCAAAGCTCATCAGTTCATTTTCTCCCCATAAAAAGGGGTCAAAATGATATAATTTCTCCCTTGTAAAACCTCCCCAGGCAGCCTGAGAAAGACTCATGGGTGTTGACTTTAATTTCAAGTATAAGTGAATGAAAAACAAGCCAGTGGCCCACAGTATACTAGGAGGTGGAAGACAAGACATATCACTTTATTGTTAAAGCAATCCTTTGGCTTTCAATATGGAGAAAGGATCATCTTGTAAATGAGATGTTAGACTTGTATGATGAGATTACAGTAGTCAATGCAACTACTTACATAACTG